TTTTTTTTAAGATTTTATTTATTTGAGACAGGGAACGAGAGAGCACAAGCAGGGGGAGTGGCAGAGGGAGAGGGAGAAGCAGGCTCCCTGCTGAGCAGAGAGCCTGACACTTGGCTTGGCTCGATTCCAGGACCCCAGGATCATGACCTGAGCCAAAGGCAGATGCTTATTAGCCAATTGAGCCACCCAGGCACCCCTAGACTACTCCTTCTTAGCCTCATAGCCAACAGATCACCAAATCCTTTCAATCTACCACCTAAATCTGTCTCAAATCTTCCCTACTTTCAATTCAACTCTAATGCCTTAGTTAAGGTACTCTTCACATTCATTAATTCAACATAAAACAAGTGGCTAAAATATAGGTTCTAAAACCAAATAACCAATTAACTTGTAACTGTTTATGGTAAGCTTTATCTATTTATGAGACTTTGACAGTAAGCAGTACAATATCAAAAGACAATTAGCTTTACTATCTAATAGAGAAGAGAGGTTTCCTTAGCAATTGGTCACTGTTATTGCAGACATAAAATCATAAACAAGGAAAAAGAATGTACTGACACAAACAGACCTTCCAGAAAAAGAGGGCTATAACAGTATTGTACAATTTAAGTGTATAAATGTATAAATTTGATGTTTATTTTCTATTTCTGAACTTTATAACTTTATACTGCAATAAATACCATGTACGTATAAACTTTTCATTTTACGTATACACAGTAGTTGAACAGGTAGATCACAACACTACCATAACACTTTCATAACACTATAAAGAGAGAATAATTAAGTCAGATTTAACTGCATTAAAAAGTGAACATTAAAAGACAGTACTGTGTATAGCCAACAAAACCGATCATTTTCCATGCCGGGCAATGAGTCAAGAATCTCAAACTGTCACCAGCACCTGCATTAAACATAAACCCAGACAGTAAACAACTGTCATTGAAAGATAAATCCATGTGACTATATCTCTGAAGCTTAAGCAAAACTAGTTTACATGAAGCAAAACAGCTTATTAAATGACCATATCTAAAGCAGTTCTTTGTTTTGACAATAAGCAATTTAATCATTTTTTTCCATCACTGTGGATCTAAAAGGTATGTTAAAATGTTATATTCTGCCAGGTGGATTAATACGGATGTATTAAACTACGCTTATACTAACACTGCTTCCTGGTCATTGTAATTCTAAATTACAGATAATGATAGGTTTACAGAAATGATTCTGCTCAATTACTACTCACCATGAATTCTGAGTTTTCACTGCTTGATAACTGACACTAAATAGGAAAGCAGATGATATAACACATTCATAAACTGGAATTTAACCAAATGAAAGTTGGGAGTCAGTTAGCATTAAGGTCTCTAACTTTACTAAAACACAGTAGAGGAAAGCATACAAAATACTTTATGGTCATGGAAGATTAGACAAATAATTCACCACTTTGTACCTTAGTTTATTAATCTATAAGATAGGAACATGGACTAGATACTAAGAGCTCTTCTAACATAAACAGTCTATGAGTCTAAGAAATTAACATATATGCACATTTTAGAAAAGTATAAGCCATTCCTCTTTATTTATTCATTTAAAATGACACAGGCTATAGCTGTTGCGTTCGTAGTAACCAGCAATGCAGCAATAGCCATTTCATTCATAAATTAACAATTAAAGATGAGTGATAAAGATAATAGTAAGAACTTCATTTGAACCTCAGTAAGAAATTTCATTAGCACTAATGAGAACTGTATAAATCAACTCTTTAGATACTATTTTTTTCGACTTCACTAACTTATTAGTTTAACTGAGAAAGAGGCCAATCTGAATTTGCAAAGTTTTGGGGCCAGAAAAGCTTTAAAAGAAAAATCTATTCTCTCATCCATTAAAAGCAAGACATTGTGCTAGATGATTTATAGGTTATTTTTGGCTTTAAAAAGTATATACATGAGAATAAGCTATCTCTATACAGCAGTTGATAACCAAACCGCAAACTGGGCTAGAAGAAACATGTTTCATTTTTTTTTTATTTTGCTTATATACAATACCAGTGCTCAGTATAAATTTCTAGCCAAATGATAGTCACATTTTTCAGTGAAACATACATAAAACTCATAGAAAAACCACTTAAAGAATACCATAACATAGAACTATTTTACCAGAGAATGTACTAAAATATCTTCCACATTCACTTTCTTGATAACCTATTTGAAACCAACTATAATCCATTACAAAGTATTGGAGTAAAGAACTAAAAATTTTCTCATAAAGATAAGACTTACCCAGAAAGTACAGTAATTATGTCAAAGAATTCTATAGGATTTTTTCTCCTGAGAATTAAGCATGAGATTTCCAAAAGAAAGAGGAGATGATGGTCTTCAGTTGATGCACTACAAACTTAAAGTCACTGACTCAAATTGAAGCAGCAATTTGCTATGTGAGAAGCAAGAAGATGATTTCCATAAAGGGAAAACTGAAGAAAAATAGAATCAATAAAACATAGGAAAAAAGGAAAATATGAATATCTGATTTGAAAAAAATGCTACAAAATATAAAGTACCAGAATTAGAATTTATCAACTCACAGATCTAGATGGTTTGATCCCACAATTAGCCATTAGGCCATTTATTTATATATACTAAAAATTGTCAACCCACACAAGTAAAGGTTAAATAACACATTTAAACTAAGCTATTATTTACAAACCAAGATGTAAGAAAGGAAAAGCAACCCGTAAAACCTTTACAGTTATATTCAATAACTGAAGAAACCTAATAACCAGGACAAAAGATAGTATCATTCTGTAACCATGGGTATGCTTGCCACATAGTAGTACTCAGTATTTTTTTAATGAAAGCAATGAAACTTTAAAAGGAAAATATAACCCTAAAAAGAAATGTACCTCCCACAAAGAAATATAACCTAAATAACATTTCATTGCAACCTTTGAAATATTTACTAAACATGGACATAAAATAAGCTCTTTGGGGTATGATAGTTTAAGTTCATACCTTAGTGTTAACAATTGAAAAATAAACAACTTGCAAACCTGAAAAAAAGATGACCCCAAACTTTAAAGTAGCAAGTACTTTCTTTTCCTCAATTATTAAGGACTCTGAGGTAGATTATAGTTTTCACTCAGAAATCTGTTCAAAGAGTTCTTACATTAAGATTACTCTGAAATGTTTTCCTTAGCTAAAATCCAAAATGTATTTTAGTATTGTGATTTGAGAGCCAAGTGAATATCAAATGATTGGTAACCTCAGACGACTATCTAAACTTGCCTATTCCTAGAATCTGGGACATGGATTACCTTCTGTAACAGGGGATCCTTTCCACTCTAACTTAACCCAGTTTATGGGCAAGAAAAGAACTTCTAAGTTAACATACTTTACTTCATGTTCTAAATTAAAGAAATAGATCATGACACAGAGTCCATGCAGGCAGAAAGAAAGAAAGAGCGAACGAACTACATATATTACATATATTTTTCAAAGGAGTCACAGTTCATAAACATCTAGCAAGAAAAGTATAATAGCCAAAAGTTTAGGAAATTCATTTCTTGTACTCAAAATGAGAGAATCTCTGTTTTTTTCTTTGAACTCTTTTGCAGAATTTGCTAAAACCGTTGCTGAATGAGAACACCTAGACTGCCATCATGAAAACCAATAATGCACCTGGTAAGAACATAAAAGACTGACTCACCTGTGTGGAATCCATTATCCTCCAAAAAAACCCCAAGTCTGGTACCAGAGGGCACAATGTACTTTCTACCGGACAAGAGGAGAATGATTTTTCCTTGTCCTGCTTTCCAGCTGCCCAAAGAATAGATCCCATACTAACTGTAATATGATTCTTTTACAAAAATAAGAGGTGGATAAATTGCTTACAAACAATAGCCATTTCATGCAACTGTATTTCTAAATGTTCTTTCAGACTTATAGTACTCAACAAGTCAAATGATTTTAAACTATAACTTGACCCTGTGTATTTGCTTAAAGCACAAATATCAAGGAAAAAAAATACTTTATTCCTGTATTCTTACAATCATATTGGAGACCTGCTGCTCAATACAAATATGAAATGCAAAAGGTGTTAAGTGTGACTGCAGTAGTTTAAACCAATTTAGCCTTTATGAAATTCTCAGTGTTGCAAAAGTGTATGGGGAGACAGGCACCTTTATATACTGTTGTAGGGAATTAACTGGTACACTTTATTAAAAAAAAAATTTAGGGTGCCTGGGTGGCTCAGTCGGTTAAGCGACTGCCTTCGGCTCAGGTCATGATCCTGGAGTCCCGGGATCGAGTCCCGCATCGGGCTCTCTGCTCAGCGGGGAGTCTGCTTCTCCCTCTGACCCTCCCCCCTCTCATGCTCTAGCTCATTCTTTCTCTCAAATAAATAAATAAATAAAATATTTTTAAAAAAAATTTAGAAAGCTATCAAAATTTCGTATTTCTAAATACTCATCAATAGGAGAAACATCCATACAATGAAATATTAAGTGCTAAAAAGAAGGTAAAGTAGTATTTGCTAATACTCAAGATCTACCACTAATTGAAAAAAGCAAGGTTAAAGTGTACTATGATGCCAGTTGTGCAAATTTCAAATTAATATGACCATATGATTTCATTAAGATATAAATCTGTATTACCTACTTGGAATACATATATTATCTAACTGCACAAAAGTTGTGTGCAACTTTAAATTTTTCACATTTCAGTTTCATTTATCTTCTCCCTATCCCAACTGGTTACAATTTTCTATTATTTAAATAAAATCTAATTAGAGGACTTACATCCACATGAGAGTATATTCCCCTAACGGAACAAAATTATCTACATAAGTAGAAATTGCTCTTTTAAGTAAACAAAAAAAAAAATTTTAAATCATAGAATGACTATAAAGCCTGTGATCTGAAAGTTATTTAGGGACAGTATGGGCAAGACTTGGTGACACAAGGATATAAACCATGAACATAAACTGAGAATGACTTCCACATTTTTTTTTTCCAGAGGAAAAAAGGGTTTCATACAACACAGTATCAAAAAACTAAAAGGAACACACTAAATGCAGAAACTGGTGGCGAGTTAAGTCCATAGCCCATTGTGATAGGTCCTTCCAGCATCAATCAGGTTTCTTCTCCATCTGTTATCTCAAGGTCATTTACAGATGTGGTGACTTTTGAACAAGAGTCTCTCACAGGAGGGTGGCCAGGTTTCAATCATTGGTTTCTGGATCTGTCTGTGCCATGTAGGCATCCAACTCGGCATCCAGGTGTCCTTTTGTTTTCGACATGTACGCATCCAACTGGTTGTCCAGCTGCTCCTTGATCAGTGCAGGGCGAGTGAGGGCACCTCTCCCTCGTCCACGGCCTCGGCCTCGGCCTCCAAAGCCCCCTCTTCCCCAACCTATTATACCCCGACCTCCACCACCGATTCCGCCACGACCCATAGCTCCACGCCCTAGGCCCCCTCTCCCAGGACCTCCACGACCTCGAACACCACCTCTTCTTAAGCCCATTCGGGGAGCTACGGCTCGTCCACCTCGGAGCAGGTTTTGACCTCGGAGCGACATCCCGCCCCTAAGCAGGGTTCTGGTGGCACGTCCCCCACGCAGTCCTCCTCGGGGTAAGCCTCTCTGGATTATGGGCAGGCCTCGTCCTCCGACTGCTCCCCGGGCCAGGGTCCCTGTGGGTCGGCCTAACCGTGCCTGGATGTTACTCTTACCCAGGCGCTGCTTTAAGCTCTGCTTAAGTTTTAATGCTGCCTGGACAGAGGGTCTATTCTCCATCTGCTGGGCCAGTCTTCTGTTTCTGGCACTGGCTAGCTGCTGTTGTTGCTGCATCGAAGCCCGAATATTCACTGGCATCGGCTGTTTGTTCTTCAGCATATTAGTAAAGCGCTCATTTAGAGACATCTTGGTGGTGCTTTTTAGCACAACTTTCGGCACTGACTGTGCAGCCATCTTCAGATCCCGAGAATCTGGGCACACGGTGCAGACTGACCCGTGTCAAAAACAGCTTTCGGCGCCACCATCGAGGGGGAGCCTCGGCGAGGGCCTGGCGACCGGGCGGACGGAGGACCCCCGACTTCCACATTTCTGACTTGGACCCTCTGGTATACTTGTTGGTGCCACTATACTCCTTATACCCCACTACCTGAATTATGCTCCTCAGATGACTCCAACAATTTATCATAACAATTACTACACTGTATTGTAAGATTTTATTTATCTACCTTCCATACATAGCTGTAAGACCTCTGGGCAAAGATTAATTCGTATTCAACTTAGTATCATCAACTATACTAGGAGTAAGTGCTAAAAGAAAGTTTGAAATAAGAATCAAACTTAGAGCACTGCCTGGAAGAGGAAGAAAAAAAAAATCTAAAACCCAGGGAATGCATGAACAGCTTCTCCTATTTCATATTCTCTGTTCCTAACTTTTTGCTCAATATATTCTGGGATTAAGGATAGAAAGAGAAGCTCTATGACTCATAACCAAATTTTCTAAGATAACAAGGGTGTAAATACTTTACAAGTATGAAATGAAATCAAACTGCAGTTTGTCTCCTATATTTTTCTGACATAATATAAGAATAACACAAGTGATATTCTAGGAAATAAAATCTTGCCCTAAAACCCAAAACTCATGGCTGCTGTTTGGGTTAAATCCTTAAGAACATTCTATTAAAAATATTTTCAGGGGCGCCTGGCTGGAGTTGTGGGTTCGAGTTCCACATTGGAATGTAGAGATTACGTAAAAATAAAATTTTTTTAAAAAACTTTCAAAATAGAATACAGCATAACTTTACCAGACAATGCATTTCCTTTTTTTTTTTTTAGTAGGCTCAATGCCCAGCATAAAGCCCAATGTGGGGCTCAAACTCATGACCCTGAGATCAAGACCTGAGCTAAGAGTCAGACGCTTAACCAACTGAGCCACCCAGATGCCCCACTCCTCCGACAATGCATTTCATTGTCATATTTCAACTGACCACTAGAAAATGTCAGTCTAGCGTGTGTGTGTGTGTGTGTGTGTGTAGACAGTAAAAAAAATGCACAAAAATACTGCAAAATTTGGAACTACATTTGGATAAAATTTTCATATTGACTTGAATACAGTCTATAAATTGATATAAATTGGAATAATAACCAAAAAATGAGGAAAGAGCTAAATGAGAGTAAGAAATTAATTATCAGTGTGAATTTTCACTTTTAAACATTAATTCTTCCAGATATAACAAAAGAAGCTACATTCTAAACCATTAGTTTCAAACAGGAAATTTTCATGTTCTTGAAGCTCTATGTTAGGTGTGTGAACAATTTCTGCATTAGCAGAAAGCTGCACATGATTTCTTAAAACCGACAAGTAACATAGCCTGATCTCTTAGTGAAATTTGAGAGCCAATCACTGGGGAATTCACAACTGATGACAACTGAAAATCAAGTTCCGGGCCAGGTCAAACAGTTATCCTAATCCTTTATTTTTATTTTTTAATTTTTTTTAGTAATCTCTACACCCAACATGAGGCTCGAACTCATGACCCCAAGATCAAGAGTGGCATGCAATTCCAACTAAGCCAGCCAGGCACCCCTTGGAAACAGTTATACTAATGCTTTAAATAATACAAAACTAAATTGAAGAGAAACTGTATAATACTTTTTAAACCATTTACCTCCAAATACAAAAGAGTACAACAGATTTCATCCAAAAATTTGCAAGGACATTTACACATTTTAAAAGGAAATTATATGGTATTAAAGTAGACACGGCTGTATTTTATAAAACACATTTTTGTATTAATAAAGTTCCCACAAGACTACAGCTTTAGGCCACAGGTGTATAGCCTGAAAGAGAACATGAATGTCACCTTAGTGAATCAAATTATATCTCCCCAGTAATACTAAAAAGTTACACTTCCTTTAATTTTACTTTAATTGATTTCCAACTGGAAGAAATTCCTACTACTGGCATCAAGATCTTTCCATCCTTTAGCTTAACTGTTAAATGATGAGCAATCCATAAGACATTGTAAAATATAAGAATGTAGTATTTAAAGAAATTCCTTGGTGATCACTTCTGAACATTCAGCCTCTTTAGCAATGGGAAAAATCACTTCTTAATTGATCTGCTATATAGGTTCAGAATTTCATGTACAATAAGGCAAGTTCCAAAAGTAATGACAAATTTTCTGACAGTAAATTTTCCAGACAATTGTAGCATACTCCAAAATACAGAAGTCTATTTTAAACTTTTTTATGTTACTCTTTCTACAATACATGTCTTCAACAAATGTGTATGCCGGTTGTGTGCGGGCTGAATTAAACTGAAACTTTTCTCAGTGACATAGACTCCTCATTATAAACAGAGGTTCCCATAGTGTGCTATAGAGAATAAACAAAACTTAAACTTTCATGTCATATCCCACTAAATTTAGTCTATCAAATAATCTAAAGATCACAATTAATAGTGTACACTTTCCCCAAAAAAGAAAAGTGCACGTTTCACAAGCATTGTTATTATACAATGGCAGTATATTATATGCACATTTATTTACATAAATTTACTTCTGTGTTCAGCAAAAAGACATTTTTTAAAAGCAACTTGTATCACCAGTCTTTCCTCTCAATTATATCTACACTCCAGAGTGAGCATAAAATAGAGATGTCACTCAGTTATTCCCTCAGCTGCACTCACTTCCCAATACCTCTACTTAATAAGACTGTATCCGACTGCATTGAAAGATAAGTCTTTTCAATACAATGTCAAAAAAAGAGCCAAATATTTCATCTAACGTTCAGCAAAAACAGTGATTCATTCCTATGCTGAAAGAAAAACTGGCTATGCTCAGTTTAGTGAAAAACTGTTTATCCATCCTCACAATTTCTGGTCTTATCAAAGATAATCTTTCACTATATATAATTTCTAACTTACACAACTTGAGAATATAAATTCCATACAAGATTCAACACTACTGTATTTATCACTTATAAAAATAAATCTATATGGGCACCTGGGTGGCTCAGCCAGTTAAGCATCCAACTCAATTTTGGCTCAGGTCTTGATCTCAGGGTTCTGCGTTCAAGCCCAGTGTAGGATTCCACACTGGGCATGGAGTGTACTAAAAATAAATAAATAAATAAACTAACTAAACTATTTTTATAAAGAATTAGTGCCTCAAATTGCTATTTTGTGGATTTTAATAAAGTTTATTCAAGACCTTAGTCAATGATAGGAAATTTACAAGGTTATCACTAAAAACACTGACTTACTATCAAAGCTTACAAGATAATTAATTTTTTACCTTTGCAATTTAGTCACAATAAACAGTATCACTGGGTTCTCCCTAGATTACTTTACTTCTAAATCAAAGTAGTTTGTATATCCCTGAATAAGAAACACTTCTCTACATAATGACAATGGCTTGTTTGACACAGGACCCTGGAAATCTATCCCCATAAAAAGAATCCCTAATAGTATTCAAGTTTTGGTAATGTGTCATTTGTTTTAATAAAGGTGAAGTGATTGTACTGGCTATCTGTTACTGTGTAACAAAATACCCTCAAACCTAAAAGCTTAAAATAATAAACATTTATTATCTCATACAGTTTCTGAATGTCAAGAATCCAATAGCAGGTTATTTGTCAAGACATCAGCCAGGGCTGCAGTCATCTGAAGAAATGACTAGAGCCAGAAAATCTAAGACGGCTTACTCCTATGGCAGTTGTCAGAAGGCCTCGGTTCCTCACCACATGAGCCTTTCCATATGGCTGCTTACAATACAGAAACTGTCCTTCCCAAGAGCAAATGATCCATGAGAAAGCTGCAGAGTCTTTTTAAGGCCTAGTCTTGAAAGTGACAATTACTCTGCAGTATTCAACTGGTGACCCAAGCAACTCTGATAACCATTTGGGAGAAATTACACAAGGGCATGAAGATCAGGAGGCAAGAATCATCAGGAGATCCCTTGGATTTATTAGGCTCTAACAGTGATGAACATACAGATAATATGGTTGATGTGGTTGTACATATGTCCACAAATTCTTTGATACTTCTCTTATCAAAAGGTGAAGCCTAATTCCCCTCCACCCCAAATATGAACTGTACTTAGGACTCTAACAAATAGAATGTAATAGAAATGACAGGGTCAGACATCCAAAGCTAGTTTATGATATTGTGGCTTCTGCCTCTCTCTCTTGAATCATTCACTCTAGGAAAAGAAAGCTGCCATGTTGGGAGGGAAGAAATCCTTAGGACAGCAAAGAACTGAGACCTCTAACCAACAAACAGTAAAGAACTCAGGACTTCTCATAAAAGTCACAAAAGTGACAGCTTCATTCGAGCCTTCAGAAGACTACAGCTCATGCCAGGAAGTTTGGAAGCTGACCTTTCTCCAATAGTCTAGAGATGACTACAGCACCCACCCCATACCTTGATTATAGCCTTATAAAAGATCCTGAGCCAGAACCGTTCAGCTAAGCCACTAAAGAATACCTAACTCACAGAAATTCTGAGAAATCGTTTGTGCTTTCACTTACTAAATTTTAAAATAATTTGTTACAGGGGCGCCTGGGTGGCTCAGTTGGTTAAGCGACTGCCTTCGGCTCAGGTCATGATCCTGGAGTCCCAGGATCAAGTCCCACATCGGGCTTCCTGCTCAGCGGGGAGTCTGCTTCTCCCTCTGACCCTCTTCCCTCTCGTGCTTTCTATCTCTCATTCTCTCTCTCTCTCAAATAAATAAAATCTTTAAATAAAATAAAATAATTTGTTACAAAGAAATAGGTATCTAATACACAACACAACTGGTTTTACGAGTATTAGAGTAATTCTAATACTAAAACCTAACAAAGTCATTACAAAAAAAATTTTACAGGATATCCAAGTAAAGATAATTATCAAAATACTAGCAAGCCAAATCTAATAGTATATAAAAATAATAGTATATCATGATATGTTAGGGCTAAAGCCAGAACACAATATTGAATTAACATTCAAGAATG